AGTTATGACCTAGTTTGGATTCGAACTTGGGGCCTCCCAAATGTATGACAGAAGTGTTACTACCTGAACCAGCTTCCTTGGATTTCAGTTGTGGAACTGAAACTCACCATTTGATTCAATGATACTGTGACATAATGGTTGAAAGCTGCAATAGCAACATGAGATGAGGAAGCCATTTCTATGTAATGGTTGGTAAACAATGACTATGATGTGGTGTTTTCATTACGATCCATTCTGAGGTTATGTAATGAGGATCAATGAGGCAAGTCAGTTTGTGGCAGTCATGAGACAGTTATGAGATGGTAGACAGCTGACAAGGATGTGAGCATGTAAGTTAAAGAATCTTCACTGTTAGGAACCATTACCAAGTAAGGACTAGTGAAGACTAGGAGACTGTTATAGTTATTTGTAATTATGAGTTATAAGCCTTCAATAAATCAAATTATCAATCCAAACCCCATGTCTAGTTACTAACATGTGACAATATGTAACTTCTGCACTGGAAACAGCATTGCTAAATAATCTAAGATTATTATATTATAGCAATTATAATGCTACTGATTTCAAAGCCTACATAGATATATGAAGCTCCAGAAGTATGAACTCCTGTACCAGGCGCAAAAAATGTGTTTAAAACTTGGTCTTTTTCATCCATGATACGTATGTAATGGCCGTCTTGTAGTGCATTCAATTTCATATGTTGGTTCTTACTACATGTTTCTGCAACACAGTGCCATCTTCAGGTTCATTATTTACGCTAAGCTATTACATTGTTTGCCATCTTGTGTCTTTCATAAAATTATTTAGAAAGTACATTATTCGTCAACTATAATAAAATTTGTATATACTAAAACTTGTTAAGATTATTCATCTATATGTCTAAATTCAAACACGCATATAGTATGGTTCATCCACTATGGGAGTCGTTTCTGTGTGTACTGTGTCTGTGATGTGTCCTTCCTTTTTGGCTGCGAGCATTGTAATCTTTTGTTGGTCTTTTTGATGAGATATAAAATTTGTTCTCTTACTGTGACAAGCTTAAACCTGACAATCAACTTTCAAGCTGAGGACCATTCATTTTCAACATGCCACTGTGTGGACTGCTTATTAACATTTCAAATGAGCTGATTTTTATAAGTAAAAAAAATGGAGCCTTCATGCAATATAAATACAGTAAGAATGCGTGGAAGTTACCATGCAGAATGTTTCATGGATGAAAACTTTCAAGCTTGATATTGGATACTGATTTGTATTCCATGCCATGACATTTCTGCATCCTGACCTGCTTGTTTGAAGTGCCTAAACAATGCAATGTACTGTGAATTCTCAATTATTTACCATCTAATCAACTGGAATTCTCATCCAACTGGGAAGCATTTCAAAGAGAATATACTATGTTCAAAGGTTATTCAAAGACATATTTGTGATCTGCATACATTTGGCCATCATGCAATAGTTCTCCAGCTGCCTTTAGCGGCTCTACGTTTTGTCCCTTCTCACGCACATGACATTACAGTAGAGGCTAGTTCATTTTGTGGTCATGTTCCAGCATATGTATCCAAAATCTTGCAACCATAATCTACCATGTTGCCTAGGATGACATTCATGCAAGAGCTAGAGGAAAAACATTTTGTCCTGACTCTGTATTGGGTTTCTGTACGAGTTTTTCTCATGCAACCAGCAAAATCATGTGACTGATAAACCCCATTCCCTCTACGTGCCAGATAATAGGTGGTTTATTGTAAAGGCAAAATACACTCAATTAGCATTGCGATGACTGTAGGAAAGGCTTAACAGTTAGACTCTGATACCTTTATCATGAAGATTACATTTTATGTAGTTTAAGGTAAACAAGAAAAAGTAAAGCTATCCCTGTAACAGGCCATGAAGACCCATAGGGTTGTGAGACGTCTAGGCTCCCACATTTTCCCTAGATAATCAGCTCACATATGGTGGTAAGGTTGTCAGCCTTACGCACCGGCCACCATTTAACCCCATGAAGATTCCTGGTATTCATTTATGTTAGAGGCTGAGTGTGGCTCGATGGATTAGGTAAATTGAAAAAATCCAATGACCTCATCAGGAATCTAATCCGTGACCTCCAGCTTGTAGCATAGTGCTTCAAGCAACTATGCTACCATGTGCCCCAATTTTATGTAGTTTAATAAGACAAATTGTTATTTATTTGTGTGTTACTCTCTGATGACATCAGCGTCTAGTCCATATATCATTTATGAAGAAGGAACCAGAAAGGGTGTGGAAGAACGTGGTTGTGGCCCAGTCACAGTACTATCCAAACATTTGCCTGGAGGGACTGAGGATAACCATGAAAAATCTCAGTCAGGATAGCTGGTGTCTCGGGTGAGATTTGAACCCAGCAGCTTCTGAATACAAATTTAGGGTGTTACCACCACACAAACCAACTTGATACATCCTGTTATTAGTATGTTCTGAACAGCAGCTTCTAAGAGCAGCATGGCTACATGCAGCACAGTTCACACATGGCCTACCTCAGGATCAAGCAAAAGTTGTGACAATATACTAGCACTAATAAGACATGAACAGTTCTGCATAAAACATTCAGATGCTTTTACACACTACAACTCTTGTTTTATGACATGCAGCAGCAGATTTTGTTACTTTATAGATTCAATAAAATAGCAGCTGAGATGGAACTACACATGATATGAACTGTATTCTACAATGGCGTTGCACTGTTTCAGAAAAGCAATTTGGTACAACACAGCCTGAATCGTGGATGAACACACACAACCCTTCCTTGCTCTTTGGTTCACGAAATTTATTCAAATTGATAGACAGAGGCTAGCAAAACTGACAACCGTGGAAGTGGAAGCCTTTGGTTTTAGAAACAGAGAAGAATAGAATATAAAATGTCAAATCTGAGATTCATAAGCATTAGAAGATGAGACAACCGTGAGAAAATAGGAAGAGAGAGCTTTTCATTGTCACTGATGCTGATTGACACAGATTCAGAGACGGTGATTTGCTTATTAATATTTTCTTTACAAGCCTCTGTGGTCTAGTGGTCAGAGTTCCTGTCTACAGATCCAGAGGTCCCAGGTTTTATTCCCGGCGCTACCAGTTTTTCTGTGAAGTAGTGGGTCTGGAACGGGGTCCACTCAGCCTTGTGAGGATAATTGGGGAGCTATTTCAAGGAAACAGTGAGTCTAGAAACCTGAGATTAACGGCCGTAGGGATCCATTGTGCTGACCACGTGACACCCTCTATCTGCAAAAGCTGGCACTAACTCCGCTGACAAGTGGTGGTCAATCGGTCGGTATAATTTGCTTTTGGACTACAGGTCAAGGAGTTTTTTTTGTATTTTCTTTACAAGTCAACAGCTGATTAGTACCCTTAAATTTACAATCATAGCAGAAAGAGACTGCAAGTCTGTTCCTAAGTTACAACTTGTAATCTCTTGGAGCAACTTTAGGAAACAAAATTATTAGGTGGAACAGGCTCTTGTGAACATTTTAATGAACCTCCATGTTCCATTAAAAGTTGGGAATTCCTTAGGTGGGTGAGCAATTGCTGGTTTTCAAAAAGGGCTCAACTTCATAGATATATACAGATAGCAAGTTCTAATTTAAAACCCCATTTATAATTTAATTATAACACCTTAAATTCCTGATCTAAAACAGTTTTGACACAAACAATAAGGCTCTCTGAAGTATATACATTGTTATTTTGAAAAAATTAACAGCCCCACAGAAAGTTATAGCACCTACAGCATTAATCTAACAAGCAACTAGCACATTTTAAACTTCAGAGATGCTTAACAAAAGCACCTTCGGTAATTCCGTCATCCCACATTTGGCAAGGTTTCTTGTTCAGTTTGTAAGGATGGAATGCAGACATGCTCTTTGGCATAATTCCACAGAGAAAATCAGTTGGGATTGGCTGTGGAGATACAGGGGTCATAATTAATTTACTTTCCAGTAACTGTTTTATCTTAAGCATCCCATGAAATATATCCTTAAATTAAATCACTTGTGAAATTAGAAAAGAAAACTTTCTGACTTACTCTTTTAGTTGACACTAATATAAACTTTGATTGTCAAAAATGAATTGATTAAAGGATTTTCATCTGTCCATCTTTATAAAATTGGAATGATGACAGATGAAAAAGATAACTTGTGCAGGACAACTAGCTGTTTTAAATAATGTATATTTTATAAATACAAACCACTCCGTCCAACGTGACATATAAGTTTTTACTACATGAAAACTTATCTCCCTTACATGTTTCGGTCGTTATTGACAGTCTTCAGAGGGAACATCATTACGAACTGGAAACTACCATCACAATAGGTGTTTTGATTTAAAATACATACACTTATATTCTATAATGCACAGTAGGCATAAAGTCGAACATTTCACAATCACAGCAGCTACCTGGTATTGTAAACTTTTTAAAAGTTTCTGATGTTAATTTAAAAAACCTTTATTGTCACTAGTTAACATTTTTTAAACTACGTAGGTTCGTGTCCGTACTCCTATCGTCCTTCTTGCATGGGGCAGATTTTCTGCCACCTGTCTATCTTGATGAGGAGGTTCTTGATGTCGTCCAGGGTTTGCTCGTGGCTTGCTGTGTTGTTTTCACTCATCATCAAGAAACTTTTAAAAACTTTATAATACCAGGAAGCTGCTTTGATTGTGAAATGTTCAACTTTATGCGTAGTGTGCATTATAGTATGTGTGTATGTACTTTAAATCAAAACACCTATTGTGATGGTAGTTTCCAGTTCGTAATGATGTTCCCTCTGAAGACTGTCAATAACGACCGAAACATGTAAGGGAGATAAGTTTTCATGTAGTAAAAACTTATATGTCACATTGGACGGAGTGGTTTGTATTTATAAAAGTTAGTGTGACGGACCAGAATGAAACAAATCAAATTTAACGTATATTTTATTTGTAATATACCTATATACACAACGTTAAAAGAATAAGTAACATAAAGTGTAACAAAACATTACCTCTTGTTTCTCGAGTTTATTCTGATCTTCAATCCGTGTCAGAATTTCTGTCATGTTTGTTTCTAAAACCATGCCACCCATAACAAGTTCATTCAATATGTAATGGACCTAAGAAATGAATCAAGAATTATGTTTACAGATCTATGGCAATTGTTTAAAAATTCAGAATAGTATTTTCGTACATTATATTGTATTACAAAATGATGATTGTAAACTTACCTTATCAACATGGAAGATGAGATCAAGTTCACATACATTCTCAAAACATTTATCCAATGTTTCAACAAACACTTGAATTAAGTCAAGGATTCCAAGTTCCGATTCGGAAGAATCGACGCAAAATACGAAATATAATGTAGCATAATGACGATATATTAATTTATAATCTGAACCTCCAATCAAACTGCAAGAAACATTTAGCAATCAAAATATTGTTCAAATATTTATATTAAAATTTAAAAGAAAAGCATCAGTGACTTACCTGCCTCCTTCAAGGAAATTGCACACATTATCATCACGTTTGGAAACCAACTGGAATGTTTCTTTAATAATTTGTTGTTGCATATCTTCATTCTGCAGAAAATTAAGAGTTTTAAATACGGTTCGTACATAAAATAAATCTGACTATATGAACATACAAATAACCAGCAATTCAATTACAACCACTTAAAACGACTGAAAACTGCAACTTTATGATTTAAGACCCCAATTATAACCATAAATGTGTGAAATGACACATACACAGCTCCAATTGTACTTACAAAATATTGATAAAACTTAGACATTCTGGGTTTTCCATGGTTATTAAACACAAGAATGGCTTTAATCATATTCTTTATTTACTGAATGTGAGTTAACACTACAAATTAACAAGGCTGTAATAAAACATGAGCTACGTTAACCCACTAAATACAATCACAAATCCACAATTTTGATGACGGACCACTACTTCTGGCCTTTCGAATGCAATGCAATGTTGGCTCGACTGATCTGCGGGGATGACAGGGATTGCGTGTTGGCACCGCACGTATGTGTCAATGTCAGTTCAGTAGCTGATTGTAATCTGTAATATTGGTGCTACTGACTCATGGACGGCCGCCTGCTGTCTGTTGTTTTCGGTAGCGTAAATGCTTGTGTAGCAGTGTTTGCTAAAAGTTTATGTGCTGTTTCACGTGTATAGTATCGAGCGTATTGAGCGACAGACAGCGAGTGATCACTAAGAACAGCAGTTTGCAGGTTGTTAACTATTGCCTCTCCCATCATCATGAATGCAAACATATTTCATGAAATGGAGATAGAAAGAAAGCGTTTTTGCCTGGAAAACGAAAACAGTGGGGTGAGTGATGCAGTGGATTCCCAAGAAGAAGGTAGGAGAATGAGCCGTCGAAAAAAGGCCAAAGTTGAGTACCGGAAGATGGAAGAGAAATATAATCAACTGTTGGATGAGGAAGACGCATCTGAAAAGTCCAAAGTTGGTGGGATAGGCATATCTGAAAAGAAACCCACCCCGGAATCGCAGTTGGGAGATCAAATTTCAGCAGTTCCAGATTTACCTTTAAACAGTTCAATTAAATTGGACAAAGATGAACCAGATTTTGATAATGATGATCCAACAGGCCTCGAAGGTGCTTCATTTCAAAGCAGGTTGCCCTTTGAAAAGCTGACAGCCAAAGAAGCATCTTCCTTTCCTGATATATCACAAGGTCCACCACAAATACAGAAAGTGTTCTTACACATTAGAAACAGACTATTACAATTATGGCTGGAGAATCCAAAACAACAGTTAGTGTTTGAAGATGCCTTTCCACAAATTGAACCACCATATAACAGTGATGAGCCTTTGGCTATGCGAGTGCATGCTTTTTTGGAAAGGTATGGTTACATTAACTTTGGTATATTCAAGAGGCTTAAATGTATTCCTGCAAAGAAACTTGGAAAAGTTATTGTGGTTGGAGCAGGCATTGCTGGACTAGCAGCTGCACAGCAGTTGAACCAGTTTGGGATGGAAGTAGTAGTTCTGGAAGCAAGGGATCGAGTTGGTGGCCGTATTGCTACATTTCGTAAAGGCAGTTATGTTGCAGATTTAGGTGCAATGGTTGTTACAGGCTTAGGAGGTAATCCAGTAACTGTTCTGTCAAGGCAGATTAATATGGAATTGCATAAGATAAAGCAGAAATGTCCTCTTTATGAATCAAATGGAAACACTGTACCAAAAGACAAGGATGAAATGGTGGAAAGGGAATTCAATCGTCTTTTGGAGGCTACAAGCTACTTATCACACCAGCTTGACCTGAATCATGCTGGTGGAAAACCTGTTTCACTTGGACAAGCACTAGAATGGGTAATAAAATTACAGGAAAAGAATGTGAAGGAAAAGCAGGTTCAACACTGGAAAACTGTGATAGCTGTACAAGAGAAACTGAAAACAAATCAACACAACATGTTGACCTTAAAAGAGAGAATTGAAGAATTAAACAAACAGTACAAGGAACTGTGTGAGACTAAGGGCTTGAGAGATATTACCCAGGAATTTGTTATGCGTTCCAAACTAAGGGATCTAAACAATGCATGCCATGAATGGGACCAGTTCCTGGAGCAACAAAAAGAAATTGAAGACAAATTACATGAATTAGACGCATCACCTCCAAGTGATGTTTACCTGTCATCACGAGATCGCCAGATTTTAGACTGGCATTTTGCAAACTTGGAATTTGCTAATGCTACACCTCTGACGAATCTGTCTCTAAAGCACTGGGACCAAGATGATGATTTTGAATTTACAGGCAGCCATTTAACAGTCAGGAATGGATATTCTTGTGTTCCCGTTGCACTTTCTGAAGGGCTTGACATTAAACTAAACACTGCCGTGAGACAGATCCGGTATGGTCTGAATGGAGTGGAGGTACTGACGACCAATTCTCGCAATAATAGCAACCCCATCACTTACAAAGGTGATGTAGTGTTATGTACATTACCACTGGGTATCCTCAAACAGTCAGTTGCATCCAATACACAGGGTGTCAATAATGTTGTGCAATTTGTCCCTCCATTGCCAGACTGGAAGGTCTCAGCTATCCAGCGCCTTGGTTTTGGAAGTCTGAACAAAGTAGTGCTTTGCTTTGATCGTATTTTCTGGGATGCCAGCACTAATTTGTTTGGTCATGTAGGCAGCACAACTGCAAGTAGGGGAGAGCTATTTCTATTTTGGAACTTATATCGTGCTCCGGTCCTTCTTGCATTAGTGGCAGGCGAGGCTGCTGCCATCATGGAAAATGTCAGCGATGATGTCATAGTGGGTCGCTGTATTGCTGTTCTGAAGGGTATATTTGGCAACGGGGCTGTGCCACAGCCCAAAGAGACTGTAGTGACCCGCTGGAGAACTGATCCATGGGCCCGTGGTTCTTATTCCTTTGTGGCAGTTGGATCCTCAGGTGGCGATTATGACATGCTGGCCACGCCCGTGGCTCCACCAACCACATCTGGACAAGGTGTGAAATGTAGACTCTTCTTTGCAGGTGAACATACCATCAGGAATTATCCTGCAACAGTGCATGGTGCGTTCCTTAGTGGCCTTCATGAGGGTGCGCATATTGCTGATGAATATTTGGGAAGTCCGTATGCTCCACCGCAACAGCCACCTATAGCAACTGCTCGAGTTCCATCCACAGGAACATCTCAGTAAATGGCACAAAAGGTTATAAACTGACTGTTGTGTTCTGTGTAGTTGAAGTGTCTGAGGATCTTGTAGACAGAAAATTGACATAAAAAAATATTTTTTTAATGTGCGTGATGATTTTGTGTTTCTTCTGATGGATATTTTTTTTATGCAAATATAACATTTTTATACACTGATGCTCAGTATTAAAATAATAATGTAAACATTTTAAGTTGCTTACAATATCAGATATGAGTTGGGGGCACACAGTAGCGTAGCTGGTTGATGCACTATGCTACAAACCGGAAGATCATGGGTTTGATTCCTGATGAAGTCACTAGATTTTTCAATTGCTCTAATCCTTCCAGCCACATTATGGCCATGGAGTTGACTCAGCTTCTAACAGAAATGAGTACAAGGAATCTTCCAGAGGGTAAAGAGCACCCAGTGCATAAGGCCGACAACCTGACCGCCGTCTGTAAACTAACTGTCCAGAAAATATGGGAGCCTCAATGTCTCACAAACCTATGGCCCTCTACAGCCTGTTAAGAATAGCTTTACAATTTACCTACTGGATATGTTACATAGTTTGGGATTCATATCACATACTCCTACATATGTAGACCATTTTATAGTGTGAGACCAAATATTTCTCATTCCCTTCTGTAGATATGTCCGTCAATTTACTACTGCTTCCGTGAAATCTGACATTTATTGACCTATATCTTACTTGCCGAATTAAACTATGCAAAACTACACATCTTTAATTTTACATCAAAATGCAGGAATACTAACCACTTGCAATGTATGGTAATTAGTACATTATGTGACGTGCACAGTAGAATGAAATTTAAGGATCAATCTTTTTGTGACAGTGCAGTTTATTAATTCAGCTTTTACTGTATTTACGATTATATGATCATCCTGTATTGTAGATACAAATTTAAACATGTAAGTCATGATCTATGCAGGATTTGTTCTCTCAGCAGTGGTTAAGAAGAGTAGTCCATTGAAAGTCAATTGAAATTTTGGAGAAACATGTCACCTCCATCTTCATGGTCAAAGAATAAGATACCAGCATGGAAGCAGATGGCAAACAGAGCCTGCTTTCTCACTGGTATCTTGCTCGGCTTATTCTTCACCCCTGAAGATGGGGGCGATATGTTCCTCGGAATTCTTGGTTGACTTTGAATAGGCCACATGGTGTTATAGCCCAGAAGATAAGTTACTTTCATGATGTATATAGTTTTTCTAAGGATTATTTTTAAATGTAGTCTCTTATATTTCAGCTGTAACATGTTCTTTAGGGCAGCAATCCCATGTGTACTAAAATTTAATAATTTTTTATACATATGTAACTTTTGAAGTATAATAAAAAACATGTGAAATGCAGAATTAGAGTTGACTAAACAGGGCACAATCTACAAAGATACCTTCAAATAACTAAAAGAAATCCTTTGATTATGTGGTAGGACTCGTATATGGAGAGGACAGGATCAGGCAGTAGTTGCAAAAAGCTGTACCATTACAAGACAAGGAACAGCACAGAAAAGTGTTCCATGAGTTAGAGTCCATATACCATGCATGACAAACTAAGCAGTCACAGGAACTGTGTTTCTTTATTGTCATTTTATCACTGCTTCACTTTATGATGTCATCAGCTGGGATGGTGCGGTCGGTAGAGCGACTGGCTACAGGCTGGACGACCGAGGGGTCGGAGTTCGGGTCCCGGTGGGAGCAAGAATTTTCTTGTCTCCAAGTCCTCCAGACTGGCTATGGGGTCCACCCAACCTCTTATTCAATGGGTACCGCGGGCTCTTTCCACGGGGGTAGAGCAGTCGGGGCGTGAAGCTGACCACTCATCTCCAACTAGTGCCGAGGTCAAGAAAACGTGGAGCTATACATCCACTCCCCATACACCTTCATGGCATCGTGCTTAATTAGTTAAGCACAGGGACAGCTTTACCTTTATCAGCGTCTGGCATGAGGTGTGTCAAGTTTAATCTCCAGTGCTGCTCCATGCTTACTTCCAGGGTACCAATGGTACAAGCATTACTGAATTAAATTACTTATTATCTCACATATTTTATATTATTTACTACCATGATGGTGTGAATATCAAATACATTGCTTTATGCATTTAACTATATATTGTTGCCTAGCAAAATAGCAGTGGGACAGACTGCTTAATGCATATGTTCTCTTAGAATCTATCAGACAGAGAGGAAAGAGGTTTTATATCACAGATTCTTATGTTTAAGGACAGTCTGATGAATGTCATAGTGAATTATGACTTATTAACACCTTTTCAGTGGTGCTGAAGAGAAAGAAGCTGCAAGAATAGCTCAGATGCTATACCAACTAGGCTACATGCTAGATAACTAATGAACAGTGATTCAATTCCTAGTGGGCAAGAGAATTTTCTCTTGGGCCTCTTGGGCCTACCTAACCTCATGTCTGTCTGATGGGCACTGGGGACTCTTTCTCCGGCAGTAAAGCAGCCAGGGTATGAAGCTGACACCTCCATCTACTGCAAAGTTTAAAAATGTGTGGAGCTTCCATTTCCCCATACATCTTCAGGGGGGCTAGTGCCTGGTTCAAATCACAGGCCCGGACACTGATCATCCTGAGATTTTTCATGAGTTTCCTCAGTCCTTCCAGGCGAATGCTGAGAAGGTACCTTGAAATAGGTCATGGCCACTTCCTTTCACATCCTTTCCAATTCATCAACATCCTACCATCCAACAGAATACAGTTTAAGCTACTGACAGCATCTTTAAATAAACTGCATTATATGTAGGTCATACCAAAAGTCATGTGCAACTCTTTTGCATGCAACCTGGGAACAGCAGACGAAAGAGAGTATTGTGGTAGGTGGAAACAGCTGTTGTGTTAACCTTGAATGTTTTGTGATGTCAACAGCTTGCATCACGTGACCAGTACCACTCCTAACAAAATGGTCGACGACATGTCATTTCACCAGCGTGCTGTCATCGAATTTCTTGTGAAAGAGGAAATCCCTGCTGCAGAAATTCACCAGAGACTTCAGCGTGCTTATGGAAGTGTGTGCATGGGTGCAAGCAGTGTTTGAAGATGGGTGAAACATTTTAAAGATGGAAACACCAGCATTCGAAGATGAGCCTTGGAGCAGTTCTCAAACAGCCTCAACTGAACGCAACAAGGAAAGAGTGGATGAGATCATTCAAGATGACAGGCATGTGACTGTGGACACAATAGTCTGAAAACTTGGAATAGGGCACAGTGCAGTACAGGAGACAACTGAAAGCTTGGGCTATAGGAAAGTTTGTGCTCGTTGGGTCCCGCGGTTATTGACCGAAGACCACAAAGGTCAGTGAAATGCCATCACCTCAGAACTGCTGCAGAGATATCGACATGAAGTCAATGATTTTTTGCTCTGTATTGTGACAGGTGACAAAAGCTAGTTTCACCATTTCAAGCCTGAAACGAAACGGCAGAGTATGGAATGGCACCATTTGCATTCTCCAACAAAAAGAAGGCAAAGACACTGCCATCAGCTGCGAAGGTGATGGGCACAGTCTTCTGGGATGCAGAGTGGTTTATTCTGGCTGAATTCCTGGAACCTGGGCAAACCATCAATGCTGCTCGTTATGTCCAGATGCTGCATAAGCTCCGTCATGCATTGTGCGATAAACATCTGGGATGAAACATCATCATCCTGCATGACAACGCTTGCCCCCATGCCGCTCGCCTCACATTCGAAGCAATTGCAAAGATGGGGCGGGAAGTTCTTCCACACCCCTCCTATAGCCTTGATCTGGCACCCTCCGACTACCATCTTTTCAGATTTATGAAGGATCAGCTGCATGGACAACATTTTGAGACAAGGGAGGCAATTCAGAAAGCAGTGCGTCAGTGTCTCTGAATGGCTGGAACGGAATTCTACAGAAGGGGAATTTTCTAACTCCCAGAACGCTGGGAGAAATGTGTACAAAGAAGTGGCGCTAATGTGGAAAAATAAAGAAAAGTCTGTAGATTGAGGTGGTGTATTTGGGTTGTCAATAATAAAGCATGTTACTTTACAAAAAATTGTTGCTCATGACTTTCAGTACAACCCTCATATATATATATATATTTTTATGGCGTGGTATTTAATTGAAAACGGGGGCAACTTTTTGTGAAATGAAACATAAGACTCAGATACAGTGGCCACAGATATGCATAATTTATAGTGCATCTTTTTAAAATGATGCAATCTATGTTGTGGGACCAACAAGAATAAACCGATGACTGATTATAATACTAATACAATTAGTAATCGCTGTGTAAATTCCGTTAGTAAGAGTATCGAACCATGGTAAATCTGTCAGATATAACCTAAACGTTTTGCACCACTGCAAAGTTTGTAAATTTAGGCATATAAAATATATTTCATACAAAATGTTCAGGCATGTTTAGGAACTATATTCATACCAAATTTCATGTATCAGAACCTAGCTATGGTTCATCAGAACTGGCCATCAAATGGGAACCTAAATACATACTGTGACACACAGCCACATAGCTAAGCTGTGACTCTGTAAACAGGAGTTTCTGGGTAATGGCTCAGTAAACACATTCCTGTTGCAATAAATATGCACACAACAACAGAGTTACTGTTGAAATTGGGGTTTTTCTACATGGTCCGTGCCCAGATGTTATAAGCAAATGACAAAGTTCAGTTAAGAGTTGAATTCTGCACCATAGGCTGTGAAGAAAGGACCAGAGGGCGTGAAAGTGAAGAATTTCCACTGTTAGAAGCTGTTGCCAGGGAATGGCTGGTGAAGACACAGCAGACTGGAAAAGGCTTAGTGGGTGCTGTGGTGATTCAGGAATTGTGGAGATTAGCAGTGGTGCCTTAATTGCTTGTACTTCCAAGTCATGTGTATAAGTGGTCAATAAATCCAATTCTCAGTCAAGAACTCCGTGGATAGTCACCCCTACACGTGACAATACATTATGTGTGGCTGCAATAATGATGTTTCATTTCTACAAAATTTGATGTGTACAAAAGTTGCATATATTCTTGTACATTTATTACATCAAACTTAAGGATTACAGAGAAGGTGTACTGATGTTACTCTCATCTCAGAAGTTTGCATGACTTGCATATGGTGTTACTGATGGTAGGTGGAGTGTCCTCTGCTGTCAGTAATATATTAAAATGTTAGTGAGGACATACAGCAAAAGATCAACAGATAGATACAATGATACAAATAAGCCTACTTTTCTTTACAAAAATAAATGGTTAAAAAATGTAGTTTGAAGAGGACAAACTGAAGCTGTGGAAAGAAATCTCATGGATGGTCTGCCCATATGTGTAATGCTTTCCAGCCCTGCATGGCCTAGGTCAACCAGCACACAGCACTTGTGATGAGTGGTTATCACTGTCAACATTTGTGTGAACAGAACAGCTCAGAATGGGTACACAACTGGAGAATATACAGGAGTATGCTGAAGGAGGAAGCATAACTGAGATAAATGTGATGAAGGTCTTCTTTCCATGGCTTCATTATAGTTAAACATATTCTTGAGGTATGTTTTATGTATTCACATCACGTGGACCTCATCTGTGGTGCAAGTCTTGTCCAGATAAAATTACTTTCGGAACCATCAACATGAGTAGGTGGGAACGGAGTGTTTCGAGCCTTGAAGTAATCTGATGGTGCATGCATTACAAACTCTACACACTCAAGTTTCCGTGGAATATCCTCTTCTGGTCCTGTAAAAGATTAGCAAATTAAGTTTACTCCCAACTAAGAAACCCAAATTCTTGTTTCTTTGATCCTTCTGCATAGCAAGAAAAGATGTCTTTACATTTAGTGTATGAATCCATTACAGCATTGGCTTCCAAACTTCATGCAGTGGCATACAATTTTTTACTTTTAATAATTTTTGGATGAGGCAGCACCAAATTATTTCTTGCCTCTCTTCTTTAATCATATAATATATTAAATTTTATAAGAATTAGCAAAATGTATTAAGTGTTCATAAATGTGACTGAAATAGTGACATGTGAGGCTGTGAGATTTGAGGTTCTCAGAGCAGTGACTATGGAGGTTACATGTTCTCAAGATGAAAGCAATATGTTCTTTTAAAACACTGGTAAACATCTAGCAGACTATATGGCACCACATCCCTGCTGCAAGATTAATTATAGTTACAATCCTTAGGAATCAGTTACATTGAACATCCTGAAGTTTCAGACCTGAGAAATGATGGAAGGATACTGTTTTGTTTTAATATCAGTTAACAGGTCTCTATAATGGACAAGGTGACAATAATATCTATGTGTTTAGACAGGAGACACAAAGGCACAAGACTCTGAGATAATGGCAGCAAACACTCCTCAAATTTTATTCGCACTTAACTACTTCTATGTGTAATTAATATTTGTCTGCTACATTTGTTCCAAAATATTTTCAAAAAAATTATGTGGCATCTTTATGTAATGATCCTGTCGGGTATTCTGATGATAAGACATTAATTCCATCTACTTTAGTTTCTGTGTGTTTACTTCCAGATCAAGATTACGAGTACCTAATAGAGTTCCTGTGTTTTTATTTAATGTATTTCAATTCCTGACAAATAAATTAATATCACTGGCATACACCAGGAAAGTGGGCTAAAATAATTCATACATTATTAAAACCGTCATAACACAACATATATCGAGGTCAGTGCCTAGTATTGGCTCTGTACATTTTTCAGCTATTAATAGCCATCATCAGGCAAATACATGGCTAACATATATACACCACAGAACTGCAGTACTAGTAATATTGGATACAATAATATTAATTATATAAAATACTTGACATAAAAATACAATAAATTAGATTACATAAAACAAAAATTATAGTATAAAACAAGAATAAAATTCTTCGATTGATGCTTTACATCATCGAGTCAGTCGTTGGGTTTTCTATTTGTGTTGCATTCCCATGGACAGATTGGAGTATTCTATATTTTGTGTGTATATAAAAAACTGTTATTGGAGGCTCGTGATGTAGATGTAGTAATATTAATGTTAATTATTTAGTCGGTGCCTCATATTACAAAGTATTGTCCGTTCTGTGGGGGATGTAAACAACGACTGATTTGGTGATGTGAGATTAAAGTCAGTCTTTAATCTCACATCACCAAATCAGTCATTGTTTTCATTCCCTATTAATTAACATTAATATTACTACATCTACATCACGAGCCTCCAATAACAGTTGTTTATATACATACAAAATATAGAATACTCCAAATTGTCCGTGGGAATGCAACATAAATAGAAAAACCAACGACTGACTCGATGATGTAAAGCATCAATCGAAGAATTTTATTCTTGTTTTATATAATCTAATTTATTGTATTTTTATGTCAAGTATTTCATATAATTAATATTGTGATGTATTTGCGCTATGCAGGACACCCCCTCCCCCCACTAGCGGTGATGTAACACATTTGGAGCGTTGCCGTTGCTACGGTAATAGGCCAGTCAACACCCCGCCTCTCCCATGGTGACGTGACCAAGGGATGCCGCGGTTGCTATGCAGCAGTAAACAACTCCCGACAGTGTTACTACGCTATCTGCAAACACGGCGTCCAACAACAGCGGTACCTATCACATAACTGTTTTCTGTCTTGTCCGTGCCAAGGCTAAATAAGGAGCAGTGAACTCTATACAGAGTCAGTTAGTAGTGAGTGATTATTGAGTAGTGAGCCAGTAGTAGTGTGTGAGACGGAGCGACACAGTGTGGATCAAGCAGCCGCCGGAGACACTTGAAACGTAGCCGCCGCCGGAGACAGTCGAATTGGAACAGTCGCCGAGTTCAGTTGTAGCGGAAAGAAGAATACCAGAATGTGTGAGAAGTAATTGGGAGTGTGTAATACAGTGACACTTGTATAGCTCCCGTATCGTACTGTGAATACGTGTAGACTACTGACGACAGAGTGGACAGAATAGTGTGTAGGGTTGTAAATTGTGTAAACCCATAACAGTGTTATAATTAATTGTAGCCAAGACTTGTAGGTTGTTAAATAAACCAATTAACAATCTGTACGGCGTCTTCAGTGGCAAAACACATTACAATATTATTGTATCCAATTTTACTAGTACTGCAGTTCAGTGGTGTATATATGTTAGCCATGTATTTGCCTGATGATGGCTATTAATAGCTGAAACATGTAGCAGAGACAAAACTAGGCACTGACCTCGATATATGTTGTGTTGTGATGGTTTTAATAAAGAAGTTGTACATTATAACACAACAGGATGCATGAAATGAAAATTCATACATTCATTTTTTTTGCAAAGTTCAGAATACAATTATGACAATGCAATATTACCTATGATGTAGGTGGCAGGATCAAATCCCTCCTCTGTGTTTGGACTTTCCTGTGTAGGAAGCAACCACGTCACTACGCAGCTCTTCTCACAGTATTGGTCTGTAAGCAAACCACGGATCTGGGCATAATATAGTCCACCTTCAACATCTCGCATGGATACAATGTCTCCAACCTGAAAATAGCTTCCCTAGAAACACAGGAAAGAACATTAAGCCAGAATCAGTTATATATGCAACAGTTTCTTGTTTTACATTCTAATGTAAATCACATGTGGATGATTATAAAGAATGTTATGCAGGCTAAACAAATACTGAGTTCGTACAGGAGCAAAACAACAGGGAATTCAGAGAAGAGCTTATGATGCCTTCATTCCTCTGAATGCTTCAGTCTCTATGTTGAGGTCCGCATGAATTATAAATTAATAATAAAGTGTTGGAAATTTAACTTTTTCAACTACATTTGTTATGCTGATCATAGAAAAGTCAAAAAGTTGTAACACATTTTGATTCCTTTCCTACGTACATTCTGTATGCGAGATATATTCGTGTACATGGTTTTTCAACTCTTACCCCCGCTGGAAGCTGAAACTCTTCTTTCTTGGTCTTCCTGCCTGTAGCCATGCTTCTGTATTGACTGATCTATCCTGGTTCAAATTAAATGAACAGTACTTTACATAACGCAGCATCTTATAAAGAGAAAATGAGTGTTTACCTTATAGAAAACATAATCACTTGTGACAGGTGTAGCAACAGCTGCAGGTGCTTTTGTACACAGAAAGAAAAACGCACACACACATATCAGTTCATGGCAATTATGGATTACAACACTAATCCATCACTGGGTTATACTACACATCAACATTCATGTCAATGATTGCTAAACCCTGCCAATCTTCTTATTTTCACAAACATTCATCATGTTTCTTTTACTTTTTTATTTGTGGTTTATTCAACAATTCTGTCAGTGTCTCAGACTGTACAGGACTGAATGACAGGTCAGTGGAATTGGAAACGTCAAAGAAGGAAGAAATTGTTACTTATGTGAAGGTACTTTCCAAGGAAATGCCTCAAGGGAATGAGGATAACCATACAAAATCTCAGTTGGAACAGGTGGTGCCCTGTCTGAGATTCGAACTGGTCACTTTCTGAATGCAGGTTAGAAGCATTACCACCTGAGGATAATTACCAGGCAATTAATTACATTACAGAACTGAATGAGGTTCAGACAATGGTTGCTACTTTTGGTCTCTATTAGGACGTAAACTGGGGAATATGTTTCACAAATTCAGAGTGTGCAGGACTAGGTCAATGTTCAGTTGTGGAGGGGGAGGGGTGAAAGATGGGTTTAAGGTAAAAGAAATAGAAGGCAGAGTTATCCTGGCCTTAATTATGCACCAAGCCATTCAAATGTATAGGAGAATGGAGGTATTGCTCCGCCATTCTTAACATCAAATTAGATGGAGGTCAGCGATCAGCTTCACAACTCTTCCGCTTTATCACCTGGAAACAAACCCCTAGGAGCCTGGGTGGACCTCAGAGCCAGTCTGGATGTTATGGAGAAGAAGAAATCTCTTGCCCTTGCCAGAAATTGAACCCTCAGTCCTTGGTCATCCAACCTGTAGCCTAGTTGAGGGTTTAAGGTGAATAAATTGTTTCTTGCAATAAGATGATACAGATGTGAGATACAATTACAAAGGGGTAAAAATTTATGTCACTAATTATTTGTAAATGCGCACAAAGAACTGTAGGTTTTGCTGAATACTTTTTAACCCTAATTCCAAAAGAAATCTCAAATATGCTACTGTGCACAACAAATTGTTCAGAAGTAAGTAAACAGTTTTAGGTTGAGGGATGACAAACCTTAATGGGGCCTTTTGTGTTATGAGACCTTGTAAAATAGTACACCGGTAATAAATTGTTAGAGAACAAGGCAACCATGATGTGTAACAAACTTTTAGTAAAATGTTGAGTCCATGAAATTGCCTTACATGTTTCGGTCCTACCGGATCACCTTCATAAAAGGAGATTGTTCACATGTACATTTGAAACATCTACAAGTTTTAATTTATGCTATATATTGTTGAGCTTTTCTGTATTGGTATACTGTTACCATTTCTTTTTTTTTCTTCTAATTTCAGTGTACTTCTTTAAAACCAACACTACTATACAGTTCAATAAACCATGTCAAAAAAGAAAAAAAAAAGGGCTTGATACCTAAATATGACCAAATAAAAAATTAAGAGTAAAGCAGAATCACAAAGGATAGGCTAATGTGGTACGTGAGGCCAAAATATAGTTTGCACTTCAATTTATTTAAAATGTCCTTGACACAGCACAGTAACTTCTGCGCAATACTGGCATCAGTAACACTCCAAATGGAATCTCTGTCTGAGGTTGATAGCATAATGCCATAGCAGTGACTAAATCAACCACAAGTGGAAAGTCAGTTTCAAAACCTACAAGTCAATGGTTTTAATACTCGACTTCTATCACATATTTACATAAATACAAATAATATGACCAAATAAAAAATTAAGAGTAAAGCAGAATCACAAAGGATAGGCTAATGTGGTACGTGAGGCCCAAAATATAGTTTGCACTTCAATTTATTTAAAATGTCCTTGACACAGCACAGTAACTTCTGCGCAATACTGGCATCAGTAACACTCCAAATGGAATCTCTGTCTGAGGTTGATAGCATAATGCCATAGCAGTGACTAAATCAACCACAAGTGGAAAGTCAGTTTCAAAACCTACAAGTCAATGGTTTTAATACTCGACTTCTATCACATATTTACATAAATACAAACATATAACTTACACATTTTTTAAAGATAACTCGCCTCCCCTTTCCTTTAGGAGCAACTGGTTTCGGTAAAGCATAAGGGTTTAATCTTGTTTTGTAGCTTCTTGTATTTCTTGTACTTTTTCTTGTAGCAATTTTTGGTCCGCCAGCTTCATGTGGACCAGATTTACAAGCGTTCACGGGCTCTTCCACTTTAATATTACTGCTATTCTTTTCATTAAAATTAAAGCAATCATTGCACAGTTTACCTTCCGGAGTATTTTTCCACATAGTACATTCAGTTTTCTGGCACTTGACACATTCCGGTTTTATTCCAAGAGGCATCTTAAAATTACCTTAACGTATATCCAAATGTAACCTCACTTCACTCACTCCTCCAAAAACTTTACTATATAGCGATAAATAAACGAATCAAGTAGAAAAACTGGAGTACACATTAAAAACAATATTATCTTAACTGAATTCTACATTACTTTATCATTCCCTCCAATAATAACATACGAAACTTATTTCGAACACGATCACGAAATCACGAATCACTATTAACCAGAGGCCACATATGGCAAAGATAATCAGAGGAATAGCTAACATGACGAAACTGAACTCACAAGCAGTAGACGGGATGGCGAACTTAAGTGTGAGGATATTGGTAGGCATGGGCATCAATAGTAGTTTTACGTATGGGTCCGGTTTGGTGGTTCTGTATATTGAAATAGTTGGTGGCACCATATTTAAAAGCAACTCTAACTTTTAACATTAATATTTGAAATATTTATATTTATAAACGTAAGGGAAAATTTGTCTCCGTGCTTAATTAACTAAGCACCACGCCATTTTGACGATCTTGAAGTGTGAGGGACCGGAGTTATAACTCCACCATTCCTGACCTCGGCAATAGGTGGAGGTGGGTGGTAAGCTTCACAAACCAGTCACTTTATCCCGGGAAAAGAACCCCCGGGGCCCACTGGATAAGGAGCTGGATGTGCTCCAGAGTCGGTCTGGACGTTACGGAGAAAAATATTTTGCCCCAGTCAGGAATCGAACCACGTCAGTCCAGCCCGTATCCGTCGCTCTACCGACCGAGCTATCCCTGCTTTTCAAACGTAAAACTATCTCTATGCTGAATTGCGTAATTAAACACTACGCCATGAAGGCATGAACCTATTGGATAAGGGGTTGGGTGGGCCCTAGAGTCTCTTGCCCTTAAATGATATCGAACCTCAGTCGTTGATCACGTAGCCTAGTCACATACCGACTGAGCTATTTATAGCCTATAGTTTATATTTTTCTCTAATCCTACTACGGCTGTACGCAGCCGTCCCGTTTAAGTATAATCAAATGAGTATATTTTCCTTTCTTAAAAATGAGATTATTGACTGAATCACAATTAAGGAAATTGTTTTAAATGTCTTTTTCTTGGTATGTACCCTTTGGAGGAAATGAGTAAATGAAGGCATAATGGAAAGTTTGCGCATGTCCAACAGCGCGCTGTGCTTGTAATGTAATCTTATTGCACGTTTCGTTGAGTTTATTTTATTCATTCAAAAGACCTGTTTGTAAATGCTGTATTAATTCTTGACACTGTCGTACTTTTCTTTATTTCTTTAGTCTCAAACATTGTGATGACTTCCTAGCATCCGCCGGCCTGCATTTCTTCATTCCACGCAAATGTCGTTCTTGCAGATATAGGGACTCCTGCATTTTACAGTGAACGGTAATTGTTTACGCCCACATGGCTCATTCAAACCTGTAAATACAAGCAGAACAGTTGATATCTGTAAATTTCTATGGGACATAAACTTACCACTGAACAGATTATTCGGGGAAGTGAGCTAAGACGCTGGGTTATGCAGTAGCCATGGCAGTCATTTCTACTAATAAACAAACAAAAAGAAACTCCGCTGCTTTAGCCCGCAAGCGAACTATACCGACCGAGCGACCGCTACGGGTTGACTTATATTTTCCACTGCCAGTGGATTTATTAAAACAAATGTTGGAACAGTAGTGTCTTCTTTGTTTTAAAATTCAGAGTGTAGTTGTGTAGACGGTATACTCTTGTATGCTTTATATCTTGTGTGACACACGCAACAGGATGCAAACTATTAAGAAACAAAAACAAAATCCACGACTTTAGTCCGCATGCGAACTATACCGACCGAGCGACCGACGATTTTCGGCGAATTTACCGCAACGGATCCCCACGGCCGTTAATTTCGGTTTTCTAGACCGGAGCCGCTATTTTTTCATTCATGTAGCTCCTCAGTTATCCTCACGAGGCTGAGTGGACCCCGTTTCAGACCCACTACTTATCAGAAAATCTGGTAGCGCCGGGGATCGAACCCGGGACCTCTGGATCTGTACCCAGGAACTGTGATCACTACACCACAGAGGCGGTCCATTTCTACTAGTACGGCAGTTTATCATTGATACTAATTCTATTTTGGGGTTGCTACACCGTGTGACTCTGGGCGATACGTGTATTTCCGGTGTTTCAGGAAGAAGAGAATTAACTTCAACATGCCAGTATGTGGCCAAGATGAAACGTACGAAAGGATATGTGACATGCATTACGTATTCACTCTATGAGCCCTACCTTTATACACGATGCACACACTACAGCAGCGCTCTGGTGGGTGGTAGTCGAGATACTCGCCCGGGCAATCTTCTCTGTTGACACCGAAACAGAAGAGAGCTGCACATCGGTCTACGTGGGGGTAATGGGGCGGAGGTGAGGCACACCATGCCAATTTACCAATAGCTACAGCAACAAAACAAGACGAAGCATCTGTAACAAGTACACATCCCTAAAACTTAGATTCTGAGGATATAGGGTCTTCGTCAACCATAAGATACAGAGGGTAATAGACTGTAAAATATTCAGTTGGTGATGGGAGTTATCTGTATTAGGTCTGGACAGCAGCTATCCTATTGTAGTATTTCATGTTTTTCTTTTTCAATGTTCCCTGGCGAATGCTGAGACAGTATCTTCGAATAACACGTGGCAGCGTCCTTCTAAATCCTTACTTACCATTTACGGCCACCCTCTCATCTGTGAAATTGTCTCATCCTGCACAAACACCCTGAAAACCATACTGTAAAAAAGGGTGCCAGAATAGAACCTTCAAGGGCTCAATGGCTTCCATCTCAGTCATTTTAATTTCGTCGTAAATAATACTCCAAATCCCTTTCCTCGAACAGAACACACAGCTCTTTCCTAACTACGAGTATATTACGGCTTTCATCGAAGAACGACAAACGGGAAAGAATTAAACTCTTACATCTCTATAAATTAATGGACTGAACAGATATCTTCTTGAGAAACTAAGGTCGAGGGGACACAAAGGAAACTGGAAACCGCAACGCAACTGCAATTTCCAAGAAATTTCGCCGATTTCAAGCAGGCAACTGGTTTCCAGATTAGCAGGCCACACTGAGGGGTCTTATGTTTGACTAGTTGCTCACACCATCTTATGTGGGTACTTTCGTCTGACGTAATGCACGACTGTATCTCTTAGTTTCATAAACTTACCTTCTTCAGTGGAAGATAATAACACTGATCTTGCCATAATATGGCGGCAGTTGAGACCGGTTGAGACGGCGTGAGAAAAGAGGACGGCGACCACAATAAAAATATTGGGATGTTAATTAATTTGTTTTAATTAAGGTTAATTTACTTCATTCAAGAAATATCTCGTTCACACGCAATACGAAATTTTGATATACAGTGCAACAATTTTAGCAAGATAGAAGATACCTGATGATGGCCGTATACAGCATAACCATGTAATGTGGAAGAAGGCTGACTACATAATAAGGTGTATTTAAGACTAAAATATGTCAAATAAATGATATATCAATGCAACAGGATGTTTAAATATAGTATTATGAAAGGAAAACATTGGGTGCATCCATTATTCTGTGTCAATTTAAACTGGAGGGCTTTCATTGCTTGGAAGGAACGTAACCTGGATCCAGACTCCTTCGTCTCATGAGAAAGTTCTTTCCCAAGCCAAATCTACTTTGTCCCGCTTAGCATAGTCTGAGTGGCGTTTGCTCAGTTAACTGCACAAAAACAAAATTAGCAGCTTCGTCAACCTTTCTTGCACCTTAACAAAGAAATGAATCACTGAAGCGCGTTACAGAACAGCTGATACTAGGAAACCACGTGGCAACGTAATCGTGAGAAAGCTGGTATGCTCCGTTGCCTGGAAGTTGACTTTCTCAGTCTTTCCAGAGTTGCGTTGCCGTTTGCTCAATTTGCGCCGCTCCATCCACTAACATGTGTTCAACTAAGTCTGATAATAATTCTCGGATATCGCGGTTGCGTTGCGGTTGCCAGTTTCCTTGGTGTGCCCTTGGCCCAGCAGTTGTTCTGCTAATCGAGAAACTTCAGGCCTTCTATGATGCTTGATTATCGTGCTCGCAGTGGTCCGCCAAATGGATCATATTAAGTCAATTCTCTGTTACAATCGGTGACATGTATTGACATATACGGATAGATGAACGAGCAGAGACACTATACTGAGTCCCCGGAAAGAAGTATCTTGGTTCGACCCTCTCCATGCCTTCCTCGGACTTCTGCACTTCCTCTTAGAACTTACAGTGATAACCATGTGACAATGTTCGCCAACAACAAGCGCTTTTGTCATGGCTGAAGATGTTGGAGGGGAACGCAACAGTAGGCAGGTAAAAAAAAAATATTCCACGTCAAAATCTGCACTTACATCCGCGGCCTCTATATGGCTACGAGATAGCTGACTGGGTTTCGAATCCCGACAGAGGCAATCATGCTTCTATTCTGCAGCACATTAAGTCTGCATGTGAGGTATTGCGTGTATGAGGCTCTGGCATTAGGGATTAAGGAGCGGGAAAGTGAAGCTGACCACTCTCCTACACATAATGCCGAGGTTATCGTATCTGTGGATTGTGAACCACATATTGAGAATCTAGAATCCAGATTCCCCCAAGGGATCTTTATCTCGTCATTACATTATTTTCTCCAGTCCAAAAACTGCTGGACATATACTTGTTTACTTGACCTATCTGGTCACGATTTCCACTTAATTATTTCCCATGACAACCACACAACAACTTTCTTTCCAATAAATTTCTAAGTATCACTAAATTAATAATTTTGACTGTGTCTCAAATCTGAGACAGTAAAATATGGGCGCGAGTCCCAAGAGACTGGGACGCGAGAAAGACTGCGCTGGAAAGGGCCAGCAGCATATACAAAAGACAGATCCAGCCTGTCATCAGAGAGGGCGCCCAACAAAAATAAGACCGTAACTGTCAAACAATAACAAAATCTGGTAATGAGCCCCATATTGGGTTCGACACCAAGACTTAGTGACTGAATGACCGTCAGTCGCAATGGGACTTTGACATTGACTTTGTGAGTTATTTCGGAAGTCGGAAACTCGTTATTTCGGCTCGGAACCGAGTCGAGAATTGACAGCTAAATTTGGAGTTTGGCACTTGGGAGTCAGCTTAGACTGGGAGCTAGCAGATGAAGGATGTACAGACTAAAGCCAACGATCAGAGTATGAGGTTGGCGTGAGATGGTCGCCAGCCAGCAAACACATGAGCCCGGAAGCAGGGGAACATTCGCCGTTGGAAGCCATTACCAAGCACATTGACTGAGGGCACTAGTCTGTTTGTGACAATGATCTGTGAAGTGTAGTCACGAGCTGCAAAATTATCCAATAAATCCAGTTATCAGTAAAGAACCCATCTACCATCACTCGAACACGAGACAATAAATTGCGTATATACCTCGGCATTGTGTGTAAATTTAAAACATTCTGTTGAATTCGGAACAGGCTAATAGGCCTATAACCTTGAAGCAGAAGAAGAAAATTAAAAAATAAGGCATTTGTCAACAAATAAGTACACAAATAACAAAAAAATTGTATCTTTTTACACGCCGATTGTTGTCTTATAGGTTATTTCCAGATGGACGTACCTTCACGTCAACAGGTTCCCGAACGCTTTATCCAGCAACTGAGATGCAGCTTTCCGTGCGTAATTACTTATATGAGGGATAGCTTCTTTTCCTTGTAGTGGAAACGACGTAATAGACGGGGGTTTACCTTGTTGCTGACGTTCGTGTTTTTTTTAATAGAAATTAAAGCATACTATTATAAGATCTGACTTCTGGTAGACCAAGGTCACACGTACAGGCCTTGCTGGAAGCCCAGTAACTCAAGTCGGATCCTAGTTTGATTTCTTCATCTGCATTTCCAGATATGCATCCGGAACCGTCGGCGATGTCTCGCATTACTTGAAGTCGCTAAATACACTGTAGTTTACGACTAAGTTGTCATGTATGCCTCATAACCAACACTAAAGCAACCATTTTTAGCCTATTTTTCTTATTTGGGATAAGGAAAGAGTCTAAAAATATGGCGTTGTGAGATTACATTGTCGTCTGCTTGTCCCCCCCTCCCAAACTGACGGTACGCCTCTAGGCCACTCGGGTCTAGCAGCCTTAAGGAGGGAGTCATGTACACGACGCCTGAAAGCAGGAAGAGTGTAGCCGGAATAGACAGCTGTTTCTAGGCAAAAACTTTAGTAATACGTTCCAGCGGTAACGAATATACATATTTTGTAGGAAAGGAGACGATTAATTTTTCTCAGAACTTCTTGTATCAATTTTGGAGTAGAAGAACTTTGCTAGAAGTTGTTAGGCGAATTTTATTTTAATTCAATCGTCTGCTCAAATTCTCCAGCAAACTATACTATAAAGTAAATAGGAACACATAAAAAATATGTATCTTGTAGGTTGTCCCAGCGGTCTGGGATATAACGCCGTCTAGTCCAGTGAAAAGTCAGCCTCCTTGTCACCTGCTTCATGCTGGTTTCTTTCTTGTCTTATTTCGATCCTTAATATGGAAGTAATGTGTTCCTCCGAAACGTCGTTTGACGTTCAACGGGCTACACGGCGTTATTTCTTAGAAGATGGAACCCTTCATAATAATAATCTAATACAGATGAGGTTTTTATCAGTGTACGTCAGTCCGTAAGTATCTCCTCAAAAATTTCTGATCTGATTTCGACGATGTTTGGTATGCCTTGTCAGTGGTCTGGTGACTGTAATCTTAATTCTTACAAGTTTAATATAGGAGCCGGGATAGCTCAGCAGCCATATCGACTCGGTCTCGGCATAAAGTGGATCTTAAAGAAGCATAATATAGGGCTGCGGACTGATTTATCCTGGCTCAGACAGAATCCAGTAGCCGGCTCTTCTGAACACGGCGATAAACGAATCTCAGAGTTACAGAAAATGAGGAAAATCTCTTGAATAGCTGAATGACTACTAGCTTCTCAAGAAGGATACTACACAATGGAGATATATAAATAGATCATGTTTCATTTTTATTTATATAGATTATTTTCTTTTATTGCTAGTTGGGTGGGACTCACAAGAGAATGGTCCGATCCGACATGTCGAAACCTGCCCTGATTTGTTTTCCCCCTGCAAGAGTACACACAACAAAATCCACTGTCAAATTTTAGCTGCTAATACGCACTGCAAGTATTTTTTAAAAATTGCCGAAATTGCTCATTTTTTGTGTACGCGGAACCGCTTGTACAAGAGGTTTGTACAACCCCAGCTGTGTACTTGGCAGATTACGATGCATTTGTGCCGTGTTATCTCCCTACCGATGCACCGGAAGCCTAGGCTGTGAGTTAGCCGTATTGCGTGTTGCGTACTGCTCTGCTCTGCTGGGGGTGGACATTTCTCCAAGGGTCTGGCAGGCTATAATATTGACCATGTTCAGCAATTTTTAAAAAATACTTGCAGTGCCTATTAATAGCTAAAATTTTAAAAGGGGATTTTGTTGTGTGTACTCTTGCAGTGAAAAAAAAATCAGGGCAAGTTTCGACATGTCGGATCGGACCATTCCCTTGTAAGTCCCTCGCACTGCGGCCACTTCTGGCCTATTGTACCAGCCCCAGATGATAGGTGAGGGTGATTGTGGAGCAATTGGTGGAATGAAGATTGGCAGGGGAAATCGAAATACTCGGAGAAACTCTGCCCCAACGCCACTTTGTCCACCACAAATCCCACTTGACCAGACCTTGGATCGAACCCAGGCCGCCACGGTGGGAATCCAGCGACTAACCGCTTGAGCTATGGCGCGGCCTTTTTACATTTTATAAGAGAGGGATATATGATATGAAGTTTTCAAGGCGGTGACTATGAAGAATGCCGTTTTCTGGAATGTGGCTTCAAGTAGACGTAGTATAAAGTGACGTTTCGGAGGAACGCGTCGTCTCCATCTTCAGGGTAGGAGCAGGTGAGCAGGTGGCAGTTTTTTCTACCCTGAATATGGAGGAAATATGTTTCTCGGAAACGTCAGTTTATACTATGTCTACATGGGGCCACATCCAAGAAGACGGTATTCTTGATGAGACAGGGAGTCTAAACCTCATGACCGTTAAGTAATACACTTCAAAGTTCACTCTTAGGGATTGGTGACTATTAAATTAGCCTACGTAAAGCGGACGAGAGGCGGGAGAGCTCAGTCAGTATAGCGACGGACTGGACGGCCTGGATTCGGTTCTCACTTGTGAAACATTTTTCTCTTCTCCTCAGCTTCCAGACCAAATTTGAGGCCCATTCAGTCTCCTATGCCATGGGTAACGGAGACTGTTTCCCTGGAGAGGTAAAGCGGCAGGAGCGTGTAGTTGGCCACTCATCTCCATCTAATGCCGAGGTGAAGAAAAGTGGAGTTATACCTCTACTCCCCATACATTTTCGTGGTACATGGAAATATTTACCCATTTTTTTTTTTTACCACGAAGAGGCCTCGGTCTTGTGGATGTGAAATTATGACCGCAGTTTATAAATGGGAATTCTGGGCAGATACATGCATTTCGGTAATCGGACTTCACTAGTGAAGTCTGTTCCTTCAGCATTCACATTCACCTTCACTGTGTTCACAGCAGGGACCGGCTCTGGGTTAAGAACCTGACGTGCAATACACACCGCAACCGTCCGCTGCTCTTGAAACTCAAGCCTGCGATTAACTGGATGACCTCGGGAAGTTAACATGGCTGTTTTGTACCGCAGCTCTGTCACAAGGTTATTGTTTCACATTGTGCGATATAATTTCTGACACCCTCGGTTCATTCATTTTAATTGCAAGTGAGGTGTTTGAGGGTGGCATGGCCAGGCAGCTCTCATGCTCACAATTCCACAGACTGCCAATAGATGTCAGCACCACTGGGTCATATACTGGGTCGTACACCGGAAAAGAAGGGCCGGATGCGCATTTCCTAGGCCATTTTTTTAAATAATGAAAAAAAGAAAAATTGTATTTAGTCAGACGGTCGTTTCTGAGTGTCAATCTGTATTGTCAAACGCTATTTTATTGTCAGAATTACCACTGGAAGCAATGTGAATCTCTCTGCCCAGATTAGCAAGTTGTCTCCAGACGTAGCTAGTACCAAGAGCTGTGCGATTCCATGAAGGGACCAAGGAGCGACACTGATTAAAATGTATATAACGTTGACTGCTAAGGGGACCGCCTCTGTGCTCGAATGGTCAGAGTTCCTGGCTACAGATCCAGAGGTACGGGGTTCGATTCCCGGTGCTACCAGATTTTCTGAGAAGTAGTACGTCTGGAACGGGATTCACTCAGCCTCGTGAGGATAATTGAGGAGCTGCTTAAAAGGCCTTGTGGTTTAGTTGCGCTGACAAAGCGACACCCTCTATCCGCTAAAGTTGGCACTAACTTAGCCGACAAGCGGCGCTCGCTTAGTCGGTATAGTTCGCTTGCGGACTACAGGCCACGGAGTTCTTTTTTTGTTTGACTGTTAAGTGAAGATTTGTATATGACGATAATGTAGCCACAAGACATTCCGGTCAGGATATCTGGTAACCCGACAGACATTCGAAGTGGATACATTCAAAAGTATAGGATGTTCAGGTACATCTACCTGTTCAGTTATAGATATGGATGGGTAAAAAAAGGTAAAGTTGCCCCTGTAACAGATCGTGAAGGCCCATAGGGTTGTGAGACGTCGAGGCTCCCACATTTTCTCTAGACAGTGGGTTCGCAGATGGCGGTGAAGTTGTCGGCCTTACGCGCCGGCCGCCCTTTATCCACAGGAAAATTCCTGGTACTCATTTCTGTTACAGACTGAGTCTCCCCAGGGCCATAGTGCGCCTGGAAGGATTGGGTAAATTGAAAAAAAAATCCACCTCATCGGGGCTATAACCCGCGACCTTCCGGCTTGTAGCATAGTGCCTCATCCAACTACGCTATCGCGTGCCCCAGATATAGGTGGGAGGATGCTGAAATTGTCACTTGAGGTGCAGGTTGTGAAAATGAGAGATGAACGGAACTGCCTTTGAATCGTGTTTTTGGTTTAGTTTTAGCGGCCTTTAACTCTCTGATTCGCATTGAAAGCCCATGGGGTACATTTGGAAGTAATCGTGGTTGTTCCTGGAGGGAGTATGGAAAATGCAACAGAATTACGTATGGAATATGGAGGGCGAGTTCTGCCCATGTCCGGTCGTTTATTCGTATATTTCATTCCTGAAACTACATAATAAATTTCAATGTAGTTTGATGTGGGCATCAACACTGTAAGCGCACCATTGAAATCCTTCCCCTCCTCCTCTTTTTTTATTTCAGTAGCTGATAGAGTAGACAATAAGGATTACGAAGAAACAGAGGTTTAAGACACACAGTCAGGACAAGCAGTAGGCGATGAGCAGATAGACGAAGCTTGCGCGGACAAGGACATCTGCTAGTCCTTGCGTCCAAGCATCTGGTGTTATTTTCCAGAAGGGCAAAAATGATACTTCAGGAAACCCCACTGAGTTTCTTTAGAAATTGAGAATTTGACTTACAGGGGCAAGCCACTTTGGGAATTCGAGAAGTGACAGTCCCTACCAGCCGTAAGTCAAAAGTGGGAGTGCCAGGAGATCATTAGCGACCCCTCATAAGTTGCATCGCTGTCAATTTCACCGTTTGGTCTTTTAGGGCGAAATTCCCTCTAAAACAATCGGTCATTGGCCGAAA